AGGGGAGCAGTGGGTGAGACAAGAGAGGTCAGCTGGGCCATGTGGATCACCTCTGGGGCCAGGGACTGAACTCACACTGAAGCAGCTGCGGCTAGCTAGTAGTGCCCAGGGAGGGCCTTAGTGGATACTTCTTAAAGCAATGAAAAATACAGGCGCCAGTGAGTAGTAAATTTGTATTATATCTAGTCTCTGTCTGCTCAAAGAGAGAGGTTTGGGACGCTGATCTTACTCAGAAGCCCCATGCTTGTAATGGATTTACTTTAGTGGATAAAAGCAACTGGCATTTTCAATTCAGCAAAGCTCTAAATTATAGGACTCTCAATTAATTAAATTTCAGAATGTAGACAGAAGTGTGGCCCTTAGCAAAGTATTACTTTCTTCTATCTTTCTTTGAGATGAATTAACTTATGTCTATCCCTCTTCTTTTTCAGTATTTTTCCAAAAGCAGGAAGAAACAATCAGCACACACTGATATTCTAGTTATTTCCCTTATTGCTATAGTCTTTGCTGTTACTTTGTGCCCTAAGAAACAGTAAGACACACTACCTTACTTTTCATCACTACCTGTTTGAAGCCTGTGACATTCAGGCCCATGAAAATCACACCCTCTTCTCTATCCCTATCTTCCATTCAATTAATTTCATACTTTACTTGTGACACTTTCGTGCCTCACTTCTGTTAATAATTTCTGTTTTTATTAGTTACAAGTAATAGAAGCTGATGCTAGCTGACTAGGCAAAAATGTCATTTACTGATAGGTTACTCATGGAATTATTATGAGGTTTTAAGAAGGCTTGACACTAAGCTTCCATGATCAATGATCAAAACCAAGCCACAGAACTGGCCTGATGATAAAAGCTGCTGCTGCCTATGGAGCACTAGAAGAAACAACCACCATGTTTGCTCCAACAGTACAGAGGATAATGCACTTTCGATGCTGTCAGAAACTCAGTTTTCCTACAGGTATTCCTGAGTCCATGGCAATCCATGGCAGTACCACTTGTGAAACATCCGTACCTTTACTCTGCAACCACCAATACTACTTCTGCCAGCAAAATGAATTCTGTGCTAAGTCTTTTTCTCAAGTTAACTTCTGAATATGGGCAAGTGGGCTTCACCTAAGTCAATGCCCACATTGCGCTGCAGAGAAAACTGAGAAACTTAATTTTTTAGATTCTCCATAAAATCATGTACATGAAAATTCCTAAAACAAAGCAAGAGTGGTAAATAACTAGATAGCCTATCATATATCCACTACTTCATTCTTTCACCCAATTTACCTTATTACATAATCTTTGAAATCAAAAGGCACCCTATAATCCAATTTTTCTGTATTCAATTATTTTTTAACACTTTAATTACCCCCCAACATGCCACAGGTATATTTACATGCTATATGCCAGTTTTTACCACAGTCTGTTTTATTGACTATAAAATCCCTGACTTTGTTCTCTATATTAGATATCAAAGAGCCTAAAGATATCAAAGGAACCTAAAAAGACATGATAATTAAATGCAATGAATTAAGACTGATTTGGGAGCAGTGTGTGTGGGATATAGTTATAAAGAATATTAAGACAAAATGGTGACATCTGAATATGGATTATGGATTAGACGTGGCACATATTTTCTAAGCTATTTTTTAAGCTATTTTACTAATAAGCACTAAAAATATTGTAAATATTTGGTATTTTAAAACACTGCAGTCATCAACAATTTTCTTTAATTTTACTTACTCAGTGTATTGTGGTCTGTGTGAATACCTTGTATAACAGATGTTCGGAGTAACAATTCAACATCGGAACCTATTTTAATTAGCTGCCAAGAAAATAAACAAACAAAAAAGTAAACCCTTCAGGTATCTTTCTAATGGTTCAAAAAGATGTATTGTTTATGAAAACTACAGATTCATATGTAATTTCTTTTTATGTAATATTTACTTTAATGTTTTGTAACCATTCCAGGAGTATAGAAAGTTCAGACATGACATTGTGTATATTTTAAACATTTATTCACCCATTCCACATTATGTTCCAAAACAGATTCAGAGCATGGTTTTATTGTTTGCTTTACAATGTGTTTAAAATGCACACTCTGGTTGGGGGAAGTAGTTTTGAAACTTTTATAGCATTAGATATTCTGAATACTAGAAAAATGGATTAAGAGCTGGAATACTCAGATTCTAACATTAATCTCACAGTAAGTGTAAAGTATGAATAACCTACTTTGAGTTTCAGATCAAATCACATGCAAAATTAAGAAGTGAACCAGGACAGTAATTCTGAAAGCTGTGAAGCCTAAGGGCAGCAAGACCTTTCAGGAGATCCATGAGGTCAAAATTATTTTCATAATATTAGAAACTTCTGTATCATTTGCATTGTGAATGTAGGTAAAGCTTTCTCCACTGAATGACATTTTTTAAAAATTATTTATTTGTGCATACAGAACCAGGGTACAGGTCAGAGGCTCAGGGGTGGTGAGAGGCTTCACCAGAGACAGAGTGGGGAACAGAACAGGCAGATCAACGAAGTACACTGCTGAGGGGAGCAGTGGGCGGGTCAGGAGAGGTCTGCCACACCATGTGGGGCACCTCCGGGGCAGGCGGAATTCGAACTCATGCGGAAGCGGCTTTAGATTCTCAGTGCTGTGCTTTAACCCGCTGCGCCACCAGGGTGGGCCTGAATGACATTTTTTTTTAACTTGAAAGAACCAGTTACAAACTATGATCATCAAACTTGGGTATTTGGCAGACACTTTCTTGAAAATTAGTAGTCTGTCAGTTCAAAAAAAAACAATTGACAGTATTTGCTGAATGAGGAAATTTAAACTTTCATACAAAAGTGCAAATTTGGATAACCTGAATCCATCAAAGTGAACCTGAGAGCTTTCCAATATTTAAAGGTCTTTTTGATGAGATGGACATTGATATTAATAGCTATAATTTTAAAATATTACACATTAAACTATGTCTTCATGTGGAAGAGCTGCATTACTTAATGAACCTAAATTTTTTATAACAATCTGGGGAAAAATGATGGTGATTTAAACCATGAGATAACAATGGAGAAGATGAGAAGTTGGGGACTTCTAGATATATTTTGAAGGTTAAGTCAATAGATTTGCTGACTCTGTTTAACAGCAAGAGAAGGAAAGTGGTCAAGAAAGATAACATCAAGATTTTGGGCTTGAGCTTCAAAAGAGGGAGCTGTTACTGAGATGGAGAAGGCTCTGGGAAGGCAAATCCTTACTCCCCAACAGATGTGAAAAGGAGGTTAGTAGGGTAAAGAAAGGGGAAAAGGGGGGCTTTCTCACCCACTGGAGGTATATAAAGTGAGTCAAGTACTAAATCTAAGGTTGGAAACAAGGCTAGATGAGATTAGGGAACATTAGAAGTGCTGAATACTAGAGCAAAAGGGAAAAAAAAACATGTTTCTCTTTCTCTACCCATCTACCTACCTACCTACAGACATGTGAACTTATCTATCTCCTTTGAACTAACAGATAAAGAACTTCACATTGCAATTAATTTTTAAGAAAATTTACCACTTGTTAGTATATTATGAAAGAATATTCACAATATATGAAAAAGTTATATATCTATTTCTGAAAAGAATCTGACCCTTTTCCATGTACATATTGGTGTGAAATCAACTTTTTTTCATATACTTCAACTAAAAAGCTTATCACTCTGGGGAACTCTCTACCTTTTGGTGCAAGGGGTTAAAGCAAAGCATTATGAAGCTATCCACAGCAACTGCAGCAAGAGTTCGATCCCCAGTCAGGGAGGTGACCTACATGGCATGGCAGACCTCGTCTCACTTGCTACTCCCCTCAACAGTGTATTTCACTCAATCTGCCTATTCTGCTCCCCATTCTGTCTCTAGTGAATCTCTTCCTCCCACCTCCTGCACCTACATCCCTCCTCTTGCATGCATGCATAAATAAATCTTTTTTTAAAAAACAATATACTGGATTAAAAAGATGTGGTATATATACACAATGTAATATTGCTCAGCTACCAAAAAAAAAAAATAAACACATACCTTTGGCAACAACATGGATGGAGATGGAAAAGATCATGCTTAGTGAAATAAGACAGAAAGAAAAGGAAAAATACCAGATGGTTTCACTCATAGCAGGAGTATAACAGACCAGGCGAGAAAATAATAATAATAATGAACAGCTATATACCAGAGACATTTTATGGGGATGGTAGTGGGGAATGGGATCAAAAATGCACTGGACCATGGTGACGGAACAGGGTGATTTGATGATGAGATTACAACTGAGATGAAAAAACGCACAAAATGATGTAAAAATAAACTGGTATATATATATATATATATATATATATATATACTTAATTGATCCATATTTTTATATTTCCTAAATTTAATTTCTAATTAGGTAAATGTTGATGAATATAGCACATAAACAGCAATTTTGAAGTCATCAATTATTTTTATTTTTTTAAAGATTTATTTACTTATACATATAAGGACTGGGGTGCAGGCCAGAGATGTGGAAGGTGAGAAGATTCATCAGAGATAGAGTAGGGAGCAGAACAGGCAGATCCACCGAAATATACCGCTGAGGGGAACTGTAGATGAAATAAGAGAGGTCTGCTGAGCCGTGTGGGTCACCTCCCTGGCCGGGGAATAAATTCACAGTGCTGTGCTTTAACCCCTTGCTCCAGAGAGGACCTGAGGTCATCAATTATTTAAGAAAGTAAAGGGGTTTTAAGACCACAAAGTTTGAGAACTGTTGGTATAGAAGATGCCTAAGAATCCTTTATATGTCAATGCTTCATGAGCCCTCTACTGCATGACAATATAATTACTTAAAAACTATTAAATATTTAATGTGTGCAGTTATGGAAAGTAAAAATACATACCAGTATATAACAAATATCTACTTTCCAGATTTCTTAATGTAAAATCAATGCTCTGTAAAATAAATGAATGTAGGAGTGTAGTTCATTTTCCCAGTTGTGCTGACATGAACAGATATAAAAATTTTTGAATCATGTTTTAATAATTTATTGTCATATTGTTACCACCCCCATTAAAGAACAGTAAACTTTCTTAAACACTTTTTAACTTCTCTTCAAACCATGACTTATGTCATTATGTCACCTAAACTTCTGCTTTATCATATGCTTAGATGAAATCTTTCTTTTTTCTTTGCATTACATGGATAGAAATACTTTGGCTATCTAATTTTGTCTCATTATCTTTATTATTATAGATATTTATGATTTTAAAATGGAACATTTCTTTATGAAATAAGTGTATTTTCATCAGAATGTTTTAATATGTGGAAATTCTATTAAAAATGGAAGAAGAATTTCTCTAATTTGTATTCTTTTTAAAGATTTATTTATTTGTGCATACAAGAATGGGTACAGGCTCGAGGTGTGGGGGGTGAGGGGGTGTGAGTCTGCACCAGAGACAGAGTGGGGAACATAACAGATGTATCTACTGAAACATATTAAAGGGAGCAGTGGAAAAGACAGGAGAGGTCTACTGTACCATGTGGGTCACCTCCCTGGACACAGATGGAACTCATGCTACAGTGGCTTCAGAAAGGTTCACAGTGCTAGGCTTTAACCCCTTGTGCCACCAGGGAGGCCCAGAATTTCTCTAATTTGTAACTCTCTAGCAAACCAACTCTTGGAATCATAATTACTACTACTACAAATAATACTCAGTTGTTTTTTTTTCCTTACTAAGGACCTTTCCCCAAGCAATAAAGTTAGATATAGGAACATCTAGACAGTTTAAGATAGAGAAAATGTTTCTGTGTTTATATAGGAAAACAATTACTCTAATTTTTTTCCAAAAATATGTACATATTTTCAAAAAACATTTATTAGGGAGATCACAGACTAATATCAATAGATTTGTTTTTAACTACAGCAAGTCACTATGTGAAAATAATAAAGGCAAAGCGAGAGTCATTCATAAACTGGCTGGTTAACTTCTATTGCCAAGATAGGAATTCAAAAATAAATAATTGTCTAGGTGAAGGAAATGAGTTGAAGTTCACTCATTTAAATTCTTCATTTATTTTTATTCTGGCTGCTAGAGAAGGAAAATATACATACAATTATTTGCCTTTCTAATTCCTTTACCAATAATTTATATGTGA